TACTTTCTGATTCTTTCGTATACTTCCTTAGATTAAATTTTGGTTTTGTACAGTTCTTTTTAATCTATAAATATGTTTTCGCAAAACAATCAAATTGAACGAAACAACATAGATTGTGAAAAGAAGAACTAAAATGGTTGTCAAATAGGGATACAATTTCATTTCGTTAAACTATTACCATCAAGAAAACTCAAGTAACTTTTGTCGCTTATCAAAAATAACTTACAATACTTGTATTTTTTTCTCTATCGTCTATTTCTCCTATCAGCAATATCCAAATGTTTTACGGATTCAACTCTTGATAATAATCGCTTCTGTTTATATACATCTGCTCTGAAAACAGGTCTTAACCAATTTCAAAGTGATTTACTTACTGGAGAGCTTTAGGTGACACAACGCATAAATCAATAACCGCTTTTCCCTGTTGCTCGATGAATGTTAATTCACACTTTACTCGCGCCGTTAATTATTAAATCCAGTGGGAGGTTTCTTAGCTGAATAAATCTTACCGTTGAAATGCGGCTTTCTCGTTTCAGTTGATATTTTAAACTTTTATATTATGTAACTACGTTTAAAAAAGAATGAATTTTTAGTGTCTTTTCTAATTTGTTAAAATTTTCAATGTTGATTGTTGTAAAAATGCGACAGATTTATGAAAATCAATATTTTTCTACTTTTCCAACTTTGTAGTACTAATAACGTAGTAATAACGTTCAATTTCATTGTTAATAATTTTTGAAAGGCGCAAACTTAGTCTTTTTAATATTTGATGTAGGCCTATTTCTTAACATGTGACGCTCGGAAGTAAAGTTTGGAAGGGCGGAGAATTTTTGGTCATCATTCTTTTAACCAAACTCCCAGTCTTTTACTATTTAATAATATCAACTCCCCTCGTCAATATTGAAGGAATTTTTGTCCGGATTGACCAGAAAATTTGACAAAAAGCTGCCTCACCATCAACTCGCCGAATTGTTTAAAAAGTAACTCACTTAATTTCAACTCCCCATCAATTAAATATCTGATCGGAAATTTAAGGAAAAGTACGTGTTATATAATTTATTTAGATTTCTAATTGATATCTTTTGTATTTCATATTTACGTAACTTTCTATTAAAACGAGAAATATTTCGTAACATCTGCCTTATACTACAATAGAATACGTTTATTGGAAAATTACGCAAGTAATTGCCATTGGATTTGATTGCCTTCCTTTATAGTTCGATATGGTTGCAAATGGAAACTAAATAGGCCCAGCATAGCCGATCGTAATAAATTGTAAATATTGAAGTAATTTTCGTTTTCGCAGGTTAATTAACACTAAAACACTTCCATTAGGATCATTGCGGCTGGATGTAATTTCCCAGACAGATTTTCTATCAAAGCAAGAGCCCGGGGATGTGTTGAATGTGGAATCCGCCGTTGTGTGCAGCACGAATCAACGCTTTTCCACGCACCATTTGTTGCTAAATGTGTTTGCTATTTGCTTCCAAATCCTTCTCAAATGGGCATAGCGAATCTGGTCCCGGGCCAATGTTGTCACTCACTAACACACTTCACACTCTAAACAATCCAAAAGACTACCGACCTTTACTTCTACCGATACCGAAATTGAAGTTATACCATCAGGTAATTTGATGGAAAAAAACTTTCGGAATGCTAAATCATCATTGATGATTTGATAGCTTTTCGTAGAAGCAAGCCATACGACTCTGAGCCTGTTTATTACAACGGTTTCCCTTTAAGATAAAATTTCAATAAAATTTGTTCCTTGGTTTATTCTTCAGCCCGTATAATCTTGTCAAGTTTGACGATCGTACGATAATAAATAGCAATTTCACAACTCACATAACATACACATAAAACATTAAGAAATTACTTTTACATAGCATACTGAAATGATAATAAATCACACCAAATATAAAAACATAGGGTAATCTGGCAACCGATGTTAAAGGTGTTATGATGTGCCCTTTTGAAAATTTTATTTGCCACATGTGCTAACTTGTTCAAAAATGTTATAAGTTTTCTAGCTTAGATTTGTGAGTACTAGTTTGTAATTGAAATGTATCAATCGATGGATTTTAAACTAAAAAAAAGTAAAAATGATAAAAATCGAAATTTTGCCATGACTTGACTGACTTTTTCGTTTTTCCTATCTATGGTTCTTGTTTTAGGATTATTTTGTGATAAACAACGAGGAGGGAAGTAACCCAAAGATGACATTAAAAGATGCATACTTGTATTCTGGTATTGTATTCCTACTGACAGCAAAATGACGAATGTGCTATCAATAGCACCCTTTCGACGCAAAATTTCTTGAATCTCTTAACACACCAATGCCAACTCTCAAAGGGTTCTTGCAACAGTCATAACGTTTAATAGACCTCAGACCGTGGTAGTGGGGCGTGTGCTACGAGTTATGAAATAGTTTACTGAATAACACACTTGAACAATTGTTAGCAGACTGCGTAAGGTGTTAGTGTCGAATCTACAATTAATTCCGAAATAACATTGTGCATTACTCAATTAATTACGGTTTTTAGTTGGGATAAAAAAAGTCAGTGTCACGAGCGGGATTCGAACCCACGACCTTCGGCTAAATACGCCGCTACTCGACCACTTGAGCTATCGTGACTTCAATCCACTCGGACTCTAACTTCCCATCGCAACCCACCTTTTGAATTGAGATGAGAAGTTAGTCCGCCAGATTCATGGCTAATATGCAATGTTTATAAGGCCATTAAAAACAGGTTAGCCGACCTCAGGTTGTGAAAATGCAAAGTTGGCATTAGTTCCGAATAGCCCACTCACTCCAAAAAATATCTCGAATATATTCTAGTTCTTTAAGTTCTATTTTTATAAGAGTCAGACGTCACTGTACTAACTGTCTACTCTTAATGTGATTATTTATTTAATTAGCTAACGATTGAAATAATGCTAAATATGATTCTTATATGAACGTAAAAAATGTTCAAAACCAAATTCAACCTTTTCTGAATAAATTATTTAGAAATCGTGAGATGCGGTCTGGTGTGATGTAGGTTTAAGAAAAACATTTTCTTTATCGTGCCACGTTTCGATCTTTATTGAGATCGTCTTCAGGGCCTGGGATTTACAAACATTGTTTAGTATTTCTATTCACTCAAAGTGTTTTTCTTCTGTGTAATTGTGCCATTCTTGCGTGTCGTGTCGAGAGTGCCAGTGAGATTTTGCTATTTTGTGTTTATATACGTTGGATTTTGAAGGGGTGGGAACAGTTGATCTTGTACATTACGTTAGATTTATTTGTTATTAGTGTGGGATCTTTAATTTTGGAAAAAATTGTTTGAATAGCTTTCAAAAATTATAAAACAATTCAAACACTTTTTCCCAAAATTAACAAATAAATCTAACGTAATCCTCAAGATCAACTGTTTAAACTGTCCGGCAACTTACATCGGTCTTACATCCCAATATCTGGACAAGAGAGTAAAGCAACATATCTACGATTGCAAAAAACCTAAGCAAAATCCTACAGCACTCGCTACCCACCATTTTGAACACCGGCACAATTTCTACTTCAAAAATCCAAAAATATTACATACAGAACAAAACAAACATAAACGTAATTTCTTAGAAATGTTTCGACTTCAAAAATCCAAAAATATTACATACAGAACAAAACAAACATAAACGTAATTTCTTAGAAATGGGTTATATCAACAGAGATAAACACAGCATCAATTACAGAACAGGTACATGTAAACTCAGTCGCAGCTACGCCAATATCATTAATCAAATTCAATACAGATAACATACCTATATCATCACATTACATTTCACACATCAAATATTTTTCAAATAGTCTAATTTCCCAACAATTTAGCTTTCCTTTTCCTATTTATCCCTTTATATATAATCCTGAAAGGATAATCTGGCCGAAACATTTTTTTCCCATCGTCGGCTCTTTTCACCTCAAAGAAGCCGACGCCTTACACAAAAATGTCTTTTCTATACCGACATCCTTCCCCACCCCTTCAAAATCCATCGTATATAAACACAAAATAGCAAAATCTCACTGGCACTCTCGACACGACACGCAAGAATGGCACAATTACACAGAAGACAAACACTTTGAGTGAGTAGAAATACTTTGATTGAATATATAAAAAATATATTTTGCATTGTATAAATTCACTTTTCCACATCCAAAATGTAATTATTATGTGTAAACAATGTTTGTAAATCCCAGGCCCTGAAGATGATCTCAATAAAGATCGAAACGTTGGCACGATAAAGAAAATGTTTTTCTGAAACCTACATCACACCAGACCGCATCTCACGATTTCTAAATAAATATCGATTAACGTCACTAATCTCCACACTTTTATGAATAAGTTTCATCTTTTTCTTCAGTGTCAACTTTTCCTACTGGGATAAAACTATACAAACAATTCTAATCTTTAGTTACCTTTACTTTTTATGTTATTTTCCTTGGTTGTGTGTTTCCTATTCAACTTGTGAACGGAAACATTAATGAACTTATCAGCCAAGCGGCAATTTTTTAAATACAATCATCGTGGAAGAACTCATAGGACAGCGATTTTCGTCCGAGACAGGTTAGATGTCAGAATTTCATAGTATCCAATTTCTATTTGACATTTAGTGTTGATGTATGATAATTATTGCGGATATATATCTTTAGAATATTTTTTCTTAAGAGTTAATTTGATGTGAGACGAAGTTATTGATAAGACTGGAAGGGAATGATGCCCATTGAAATGTAATTACATACATAAAAATCCCTTTTAGAAATGGTTTATTAGAAGATTTCCCAGCGTTTCACCTTATATAACACAACAAAATTTCAAAATGTTCCAATTAAAGACAAATAAGTAGGTTTAATAAGGAAAGAAATACAAGAAAAGTCGTGCGAATGTTTTGCTCAGATGGAAGAGCTTCGGGATGTCATCTTATTGTATTTAAATTATTAATTATTTAAGAATCTATGATCGACTTGCCTTAACGTTGACTTGGACGCTGTGCGGCGTCACTATGTCCACGCTCGTGTTGTCAGGAGCGTCGTAAGCGACGTCGGAAGGATCGAAACTCCTGAGCATAGTGACGTTCACAGTGTATTCCGTGACTCTTTCTGCATTGTTGAACGGTGGAACCCATTCAACGCCGAATGAGGTGTCGCTGAGCGGTGTGACGACCACGTCGAGTGGTTCGCTTGGTAATATCTCTGAAATGGAAATTACAACGGTACAGATTTGATAGAAAACAGAATGCGTGTAGCTTAGAATATCTGTGATATCAAACATAATATATAACACAAAACATGTGATAACAGTCCAATTCTATGACACTAGAACCATTTTGTAAAACATGTTATAAAAAAGGAGCTTTTGACAAACGCGACAAGATAAAAACTCATTCTTGGAACAACAACCAAGGAAAAAGACATAAAACGAAGTCCGCATAAATGTAATACAGATGTGTTTAGCGAGGCAGGAAAAATGTCCTATCATTAGAAAAGTGTGAAGGTCTAATAAGGAAAAGAAAAAGAGCGAAAGGCAACAAATATAACTAAAGAGCTACTATCAAGGCAATAAATACTGATAAAAACCCTAGATAGAGGTCTGGTGATGTGTATACCTTCTGATTGGATGTCGTACTTGTAAGTCTAGTTTTTCGTATGTTCAGTTGAAAGACACAAATCTTGCATACTGCGCCATATAACTTTTTTTAAACGAGGCATAAATCTACTAAACTGAAAGACAAAGAGATACGTTAAAGAATTGTCTTATGAAGCGACCGTCTTGCATAAATGCCATTCAAGGTACACAAGTACATTTTGTGCCCCGGTTTGAAAACAATAAATAATCCGTTATATTTAGTGGTCTATTGACCCAAGTACTTCTTTCAATTAATTAATCTTTTTATGTAAAGTTTTGGTTGAAATGAAAAAGTTAGTGCCACGAGTGGGATTCGAACCCACGACCTTCGACTATAGCTCAAGTGGTTAGAGCAGCGGCGTATTGAGCGTCGTGGGTTTGAATCACGCTCGTGGCACTAACTTTTTCATTTCAGCCAAAACTTTACATAAAAAGATTAATTAATTGAAACAATAAATAATATTTCCGATTATTTTAGAGAATTTTGAATGAATTTATTAGCGTGAAAATCCATATAAAGCGTATAATCTTAGAGGAACTTTATTTTCAGTGTTACAAATATCGATCTCTTTTTCACTCAGGAATACTGTGGATCAAGTTATGGTCTTGAAGAAGCAAGGAAATTAACTTGTTAATGGCACGCTTTCGACCTATTTTAGGGTCATCATCATGGAATACCTTTATAGTCCTTGGTTAGAACGGACTGTCTTCAAGAAAATTGGAGATCGCGTATAAAAAACTTAGATGTCAAGCTGTAGACATATTTAAGATTGTTTTGCCCTGATGATGACTTTAAAATAGGTTGGCATGAATTTGTTTTTTTTCTTCAACATCATACCTTTATTCAGAGTGTTCGTGAAGAATTTTATTCCCAAGTGTGGTGATAACGATCAAGACCTGCACTCTAAAAATAACGGGATTCATAAAAATAACAGCTCATAAACAAGTTGTAACGACCCCCTAATATTATCTATCGTCTTTCTCCTCTGACTCTCTTTCCTTCTCTCTCCTCTTTCTGTGTATATAATTTCATACATTCGTTTTATTTATAAAATCAGCCTATAAATACCAAAAGTGACTCCCTCTCTCGTCAAATATGTTTTTTTCCCTTTAACTCTGTATATCTGTTTAACTTTCTCTTCTCCTATATCTTTCTATCTACCTATATTCCTTTCTGCTGACATATTCTGCTCTCTCTCTCTCTCTTTTAGTGACTCTATTGTTGTTTATCTGTCTCAATTTCTATGCCTCTCTCTCGTTCTCACATCTTTTTGTTCTTTATCTAAATAAGTATCTTTTTTCTCGTTCTACATATTTATTTCACATCTCTCTCTTTCACTTTCTAATTTCCTCTCTCGATCTATCTCACCTCAATGTTTATCTCTCCGACTGTATCTCTATCCCTTCATTCTGACTCTCTCTATTTCTTTCACACCCTTTTTATTTTTCCATCTATAAAAGTACATATCTTATTTCTTGTCGACCCTATTTATCAAATAATGCTCTCTCTCTCTCTCTTCATCTATTTTTCTTCCTTTCTTTCTAGTTCTGTCTGTCTTTCTTTCTCTTCTTTAATATTTTTCTATCTTCCTATATCCCTTTCTGCTGACATACTCAATGTCTGTCGGATTTTCATTCTCTCTTTTTTTAACTGACTTTTTTAGCTATACATTTCTCTTTTTTTTTGTGAACAGTCTCGCACAATGGTTGATGGTGTGTCTTTCTTCTGCAACTCTCTCTCACACCCTATCTATCAATCTAGTTTTCTTCTTTTCCTCTTGCTACTACTGTCTGTGTCTAGGAGGGGAGTCTCTTTCTGTCTCTGTTTTACGTTTATTTTGTCCTTTAACTAGTATTATTTTTATTTATTATTAATAATATTTAACTTTCTTATAATTTTTACACTCGTTCATATTGAGATGGACTCCTAATCCAAGACCTTCCATCTATCACAATCATCTCAAATTCCCATTACTTTCTCGACTGCATATTTTACAATTTGGTGTATACCATTGAGCAAGTTTGCGGACCATTTTTTCTTATTACTTTTCATTCCGTCCCACCCTCTCCCCGCTTCACCGGGATGTCTTCGTTATTCCTGTTCCCCTATCTTTTCTTCTTACCCCAGACGTACATATTTCCATAACTCTGACGCCCTGCCTTACCTCCCTGTAACCTTCCATACGTAATTTCAGCGACATATAAACGTGGCGAAGGAAACGTTTCCTTTTAGAAAATAATTTTATTATAGTTGCGGCAAACCGCTTAACTTTTTTTTTCATTCAAGTTGAAGTAAAATAATGTATAAGATCTACGACTTCTAAAAAAATAAATTTCTCCTTGGCGTTTTTCATTTGACAATATATTCCTCAAAAACTTGAACGTTTGTTATATATTGCACTAATATTATCTTTGTTTGTTCCATATCATAAATTCCTAGAAAAGTTTTCTACTATCATATGTTATTCTATTATATTTTTTTGTATAGTTTTTCTTTATATTAATGAGATTCACAGATCATTCCAGGTTTAATTAAATTATCACTTTAATTTTTTTCTTATGAACTCATATGCAAACAATGCATTTGGAAAATAATATTCCAGTTCATAATACATTTTGAAATGGACACTGAGATAGTCAAAATTGCTGGGGGAAGAACGAGAGTCTCGACACGTGACAATTTTCCCTACCGCCTTCTCTAAATTTCATTAGGTGGAAGGACCTCACCGGTTCTTGAGCTAAATCCTTTATTGACACGCTTTCGAGGAACGGGACCGTTTAAGAAGAAATTCATTATGACCTGGATTAAGAAATGAAATTACGACTTAAACATGACAATTTGCCATTTTTTTGTTTATTGTCAATAATTAGGTTTTTAATCATTGGTTATATTACAAAATTAAATTTTCCAGAAATCGTGAGATGCGGTGTGGTGTGATGTAGGTTTCAGAATAAAATTTTCTTTATCGGGCCAACGTTTCGATCTTTATTGAGATCATCTTCAGGGCCTGGGATTTACAAACATTGTTTAAATTTAACAAATACATGTAGGATGTGGAAAAACGTGAATTTATACAATGCAAAAAAATATATATAATTTTTTTGATGATGATCCCAATAAAGATCGAAACGCTGACACGATAAAGAAAATCTTTTTCTGAAACCTACATCACACCACACCGCATCTCACGATTTCTGAATAATTATCGACTAACGGTCACTAATCACCACACATTTCTATAAAATTAAATAATTTTATATCATTTTTTAAATAGTTAATAATAACCTTGTTTGTTGTTTTAACATTTGAATCGCCTAATCTTTGGAATTTAAATAAATCTTGCAATTTTAGTTCATAAATTGCTTTCTGTTATTTAAATTTCCGTAGAAATGTACAAAATCAATAGTAGTTATGTTAACAATAAAAAGGTTAATTTATGTTCTGAGTTTTACTATTAATAAAATTTTAAAAATTTGAAATGTCGTTTCTTCATCTCGACCTAACTGTGCAATGTAATAGTAAAGTAGATAAAAAGAGTAGATTCTTAGACTTTTTATCGTGATCTATTTAAAGATGTAATCGATTTGGCTCGGATAGAATGCAAATAACAAGAATAAAGTCCTACTAACTCGGGTTATGAAATGAAATTACGACCAAAACCTTCCAATTTTTGTTTATTGTCAAAAGTTAGTTTTTTAATCATTAGTTAAATTACAGTGTAAAATAATTTAATATCATTTTTTAAATAGTTAATAATAAACTATTTTTTGTTGTTTAACATTTGAATCGTCTAATTATTGGAATTTTAATCTATCTTGCAGTTTTAGTTCATAAATGACTTTCTGTTATTTAATTTTCCATAGATATGTATAAAATCAATAGTAGTTATTGTATATGTTAATAATGAAAAAGTTAATGTATGTTTTGAGCCTGTTTTACTATTAATAAAATTTGAGATGTCGTTTATTCATCTCGGCCTATCCTGTGCAATGTAATAGTAAAGGGGATAAAAAGAGTAAATCTTTATTTCGACTTTTTATCGTGATCTATTTAAAAATTTAATGGATTTGTCTTGGATGAATTGCAAATAATGAGAATAAAATCCTACTAACCTGGATTATTAAATGAAATTACCGCTTAAACCTTCCAATTTGCTCTTTTCTGTTCCTTGTCAGTAAATATTTTTTAAATGAAAATCATCACATCAAATTTTGCTAAAGCGTTAAAACCTTAGTTCTGAATGTTTCATAATTTCCAACTTTTTTAAAAATAGTTATTAAATATCCTTTTACTGTTTGTTTAACATTTGAATTGTCTACTCCTAGGAATTTCAATAAATCTAGATGTTTTAATTCTTTAATTATTTTCCGTTATTTATTTTTCCACAAAAATGGTATAAAATCATTAGACGTTATAGTATGTTAATAATTAAAACTGAAATACATGTATTAAATTAACTAGTAATATAATTGTAAATATTTGGGATGGAATTTTTTCATCTCGACCTGTTCTGTGCAATAGAAAAGTTAAATGAGAGAAAAAGAGTAAATTTAAGATTTTCTGTTGTGATTTATTTAAAAATGTATTATGGAAGTTATGTATAATGTTCACATGTATGGAAGGAAAATAACAAGAAAAGAAATTACGACTTAAACCTTAACCATTAGCTCTTTCTTTTCTGTTTATTGTCAGTAATTAAGTTTTTTAAATCAAAATCTTTAGTTCATAATTTTTAAAAGTTATTATTCAGAAATTGTGAGATGCGGTCTGGTGTGACGTAGGTTTCAGAAAAACATTTTCTTTATCGTGCCAACGTTTCGATCTTTATTGAGATCATCTTCAGGGCCTGGGATTTACAAACTTTGTTTACATTTTACAAATACATGTAGGATGTAGAAAAAAGCGAATTTATACAATGCAAAAAATATTTTTTATATTCAATCAAAGTATTTCTACAGCAATATCTCACTGGCACGCTCAACACGCAAGAATGGCATAATTACACAGAAAACAAACACTTTTAGTGAGTAGAAATACTTTGATTGAATATAAAAAATATTTTTTGCATTGTATAAATTCGCTATTTTCCACATCCTAAATGTATTTGTTAAATGTAAACAATGTTTGTAAATCCCAGGCCCTGAAGATGATCTCAATAAAAATCGAAACGTTGGCACGATAAAGAAATGTTTTTCTGAAACCTACATCACACCAGACCGCATCTCACGATTTCTGAATAATCATCGACTAACGGTCACTAATCAGCACACATTTTTAAAAGTGTTAAAACTAATAAATTGAAAATTGTAAAACATTAGTTCTAAATGTGTGGTGATTAAAAACGTAATAATCACCATTTCAACGTTGGTGTAACATCTGATTTTTCTACCCCTAGAAATTTCAATAAATCTTGCTGTTTTAATTCATATATTACATTCCGTTATTTATTTCCCCATAAAAATGATGCAAAATCAATGGTGGTTTTATTATGTTAAAAATTAAAAGGGGAAATGTCTATTTTCAGTTTGTGGGCCAAAGCCTGCGCAGTTGTCTGTTATATTATTTACATGTAGGGTCGTCAGTAAGATGAAATCCTAACAACTAGCTCGATTTCTTATTTGCTCAACCGTTAGGAAATGGTTTTGGTAGTCTTGAATCGAATAGAAGGAAATACAATTTGAATGATAGACGTTAGTTTTAGGCTAGATTATAGTTGCATGCGTTCGTGGCCGAAATAACAAAGTTGTTCAATGCCCCCGGAGCCTAACCATTTTGGTTGGGAAGAGACGATCTCCTGGGCATCAGTCTTAAGGAAGATACTAGCGACTCAGCCACATACGGAGTAGCTGAACTCCTCTGACTCCAGGGAGAGCACATCGGGGTGTTAAATATTCTTCGGGGTGAAAATAAAATTTTAACAATTTTGCATGTCATTTCATCATCTCGACGTATCTTGTGCGATATTGTAAAATAGATGTAAATGTAATTTTTTGGACTTTTTATTGTGATTTATTTAAAATTATATTCGATTTTGCACGGTTAGAAGGCAAATAACTAGAATAAAATCTTTAAGAACTGTATTATGAAATGAAATTACTTAAACCTTCCAATTTGCCATTTTTTGTTTATGATCAATAATTATTTTTTTCAAACAAAATCTTCATTCAAATTTTTCAAAAGTGTTAACACCTCAGTTCTAAACGTTTTAAAATTTTGCAACACTTTTTAAACTAATAAGCCTTTTACTGTTTCTTTAACAAGTGTCCATTCTTCGGAATTTCAATAAATCTTGCTGTTTTAGTTTTAAAATACTCTGAATTATTTTTTTTTCTGTAAAAATGATATAAAATCATTGGTGGTAAATGAAAAATGAAATTGTCCACATTTGGGATATAGTTGGTTTTTCATTCCGAACTGTCGTGTGCTAACATTAAGAAATATTTCATTTTGGTCGTGATTTATTAAAAAATATGTTAAAAATAATATAAATATAAAGGTAAATATCGAGATGTCAAAGAGAAACAGTGAGAGAAAAAAGGGAGTTGTTGAAGGAGCGTTAAAGTAAAGTAATTGCTGTCAAACAGGAGGGCTTAATGTCAACCTTTTCGTTGGGTTTCGTCCACGAAGCGGTCAGAACCACTTTTCAATACTTTTCCAAATTAATATCAAATATAATTCCAAGGGTTATGATAGCTCTTATCCAGGAGCCAATAAATAATAAATATTTTTTTTACTATCTAAAAACAAAAGACTTACCGATTCCTTGTACAATGCAGGCAAGAGTCTGCTCTGTGTATGCAGCGCAGGAAAAGTGGGTTTTGATGTTGTCTGTTATCATTGTGTACTCGCCTCTGCAGACGTCTTGGCAGATATCAGGGACTTTCTCTTCAACGCAGCATGGTACGTGATTCCGTCCGTCTGAAAGAGAAAAAAAATCTGTGTATGTCTGTGTTTTATCATAAAGGTTTGGGTTTACTTAAAGAATGATGTCAATTTAAAATTAACTATATTTTATTCATTATATTTAGTGGACTATTGACCAAATTACTTCTTTCAATTAATTAATCTTTTTATGTAAGGTTTTTGGTCGAAATGAAAAAGCTAGTGCCACGAGCGGGATTCGAACCCACGACCTTCGGCCATATACGCCGCTATTCTACCACTTGTGCTATCGTTAATTCGATCCACTCGGACGCCAACTACCCATCTCGACCTACAACCTTTCGAATTTTCTATCGTTTTTCTCATTTTTCAAATGTTGTGTAATCACGATATGATCCTCGGCGACATATGAAGTGGCCAGTGTCCGAGTGGATAGAAATAACGATAGCTCAAGAGGTAGAGTGCGGTGTATTTAGCCGAAGGTCGTGGGTTCGAATCCCACTCGTGGTACTAGCTTTTTCATTTCAAAAACCTTACTTACAAAGATAACTAATGAGGTAATAACTATATTTTATTACTGATCTATCAATGATGGTGACCAGAATTTTGTAATTATTACCTTCAAGTCAGGCAATAAATACTGAATTTTGAATGTTAAAAAGGTTTATAGCTTTTTGGATTGTTTAAGATGTCCTGATTTATAATGTTCTCTCCTTCGCCATGATTAACTGTTAACAATTTCCCAGCTACATTTTCCTATAATAGACTCCGTGTAGTTCTGCGCTATTAAAGGGGTTGCCAGTTCAGGTATTGGCCCGAGGAAAATATTAGAACCCTCGTAGATAGGGACTAACCGGATGGGGTGGCCGACCCGCTCGATCCCTGGAGATGAAGACCGGTGACCTCTAAATGAGATCTCGACTTTTTCACATAGAAATTGCTTCTTCCATTAACCGAAAAGCCCTTTCCAGTGCGTGGGCAGTTTAATAACAAACGAGTAATAATACTTGATGAAGTTGAGGGCCACAGGTTAAAGATTGCATTCGAGAAATACAGACAAAAATATCTTTTATTGTCAATAATTTGGGCAATATTACATTTTAGACTACCAAGGTTTTAACAAAGCAATGATTTAATTAGCATAGCAGCATACATTTTATCTACTTACTGATGCAAAATATTTGGTTGCCTAATAGTAATGGAATTCTAGATCAAAATTTTCAGCGTTCGATCCGTTGGATTTAGTCTAAAATTAATGCCTCTTCCCCATAGAATGAAATTTGTTACCAGAAAGACTGGAAATTTCTCTCTTCTTCTTAAAATTAAATATTAACAACTCTTTGGTGTAATTACAATCGTCCATCAATGTCGAAATACAATTATAATTTAACAGACGTTAGTATATTACACGAGATATTTATGATTAAAGATACTACAATACATACTAATTATGGAACTTAAAAAGCTATTTAATGAACAATTTATATAGTCACAATTAAAATTAAAAGGTTTTAAAATTAATTGTTTGTGAAATTTCATTTTTTTGTCTTTGGGACGATAAATCCTTTTGTCTTACTTATTCGTGTGTTATCACAGCCTTCATCATTAGCGGGTTTTGTCAGTCGTATTAGTTTATTGATAACTTGCTTATACCCCAGTCTACTTTGAACATGGCGAATAGTAGAAACCTCTCTTACAATACAAAGAGACCAGACCAAAAATATCGGAAACGACTAAAGTATGTCTCCCAGGATACCGCACAGACTTCAAGAGGATATTAGAAAAATTGTTATTGTACATTACTTTGGTAATATTTAGGTTTTTTGTTCAAAGAATTTGTTTTAGTTACCAGCCATGCATTTGACGATAGATTGAAAATCTGTTTCGCAGTGTTCCGGGTCCTGGCCCGTCGTCCCATCCAAGATGCTCTGTATGTTGCAGAAGCCGAGACAGTCCGACGTTACGTTAAGGGCGATGCAGCAGTCTGTATAGTTGTGATTTGGCGGTTTTTCCGTCCCTGCGAGGGAAGTCGGCGTCGGCGGAGGTACAAGGTCCCTCGACAGAACTGAAACAGAGACATGCGGTCAATTATTCGGTCCGGAGGACTTCGTTGGCTTTCTACGGGCACGACAATTACCCGAAAGGTGGTGAAACGTCTGGACAACTGGGGTGCTGTTGACCTCGCAGGCGTAGAGCCCAGTGTCATTCGCTCTTACATGTTTGATCGCCAGGACCCAAACATCACCACCTGAAAATAAAAAATAAATCATTTTATGACAGAAAGTTTAGAAATTTTGTACATCAAACAATTATTAAATTTAAGCAAGTAAATTCTGATCATTAAGAAAATCTTTAATTTTATTTAAAAAAAAGAATTGCATATTCCAAAGAATATTTAAAACAGCTTTGTTTTGCTGTTATATAAAACATGGATCTGGTTAAATACGCTGTACACAGTAAAATATATATCCGATGCCGCGAAAATATACAAATGTATTAAATCAACTGATGATTATTCGCACTTGCAATCGGATATAAATAATCTGTATTCGTGGTGTGAATGAAATCTTTTGTTTCTAAACATTGCTAAGCGTAAATCTATATCTTTTTACAGAAAGTTATCGTGTATCCGGTACGATTATACTATTAATGATGTATTATTAGTAAGAACAAATACAATAACGGGCACCTGCTTTTGGGACAAAGCCCGCCCAGGCGCCCCCTATGCAGAAAAAGGTTGCTCGATGTGTCCCACATACTGGAAACATATCATGCCTTGGCTCCCTTCAAGGAGCGTGCAGGCATGCCATCCCATCTGAAAATAGTACTCGAGCACGGCACCTGGATTCTGGGTCCCCTGTTCCGCTTTTTAGGAGAAATTGTTTTTTTTATTGTATATAATATGTCTTATGTGTTGTGTGTCTGTATGTTTTGTCTGAGTGCATGTATTTATTAGCGTGAATGGCGAGGAGTGAGGGTGAAATATAATGTCATCATCGCCCCTCGAACTTTGAGAGCGTATGAGTGTGTGTTCGGCGTCGATCGAATATTTATAAAAGTACTCCATCGACCCCGATCTAGATTAGTTTGATTATAGGTCGGTGGAGGAATATCAAGTACTCCACCGACCAAACGGAATGAGTGTACTGTATGGATGTATTTGTGTGTATGAATGTACTGTTTGAAAGGGTACATAAAATCTAGACTTAGTTGGGGTCTGAATTGACCTAGATGTCGAAAGCCCCAGTTAAAAAAAATAAAAAATAAATAAATAAAATAAAAGAAATAAATAAAATTCATGAGTGATATCTATTCTATACGTAAGCCAATTAGGAAAATTTTAAAGACAGTGCATAAGTGCACTGCATTTTAAATTTTAGCAGTCACAATACCAAAACAGGATCTTTATAACTCTCTCACCACTTTTTCCTCGAACCCTTATCCGTTTTTTTTTCTCTCTCTCTCTCTCTCTCTCTGCCTCACTCTCTCTATTTTTTCTCTCTATCCTTCTCTTCTCTCTATCTCTCTTTCTCTGCCTTACTTTCCTTATTTTTTCTCTCTATCTTTCTCTTCTCTGCATAAGTGCACTGGATTTTAAATTTTAGCAGTCACCATATACCAAAACACGATCTTTATAACTCTCTCACCACTTTTTCCTCGAACCCTTATCCGTTCTCTCTCTCTCTCTCTCTCTCTCTCTCTCTCTCTATCTATCACTCTCTCTCTCTCACTCTCTCTGCCTCACTGTCTCTATTTTTTCTCTCTATCCTTCTCTTCACTCCCTCTCTCTCTCTCTATATATATATATTTTTTTTTTCTCTCAATCACTTCTTCGGTAGTTCCTTCTCTGTATTTTTCACACACATTTTTTCTTTCACTTGTTGTTTTTATCGATATGGCGTATTAAAATACTATTGTCGAGCAAGTTTTTTAAAACATTTTGTAACACAATAGTCCAATATCAATGTTTTTCAGTTTTTCCAAATAATGCGATGTAATTCCAACGTAGCTGGACAGTTGATGCAAATAATTGTGTAAATTACATCGAATTGTAGGCTGTTGTTGATGTGTGTTTGACTTAGAAAACAGTTTCATAGGTTTTAAAAGTTATTGTAATGTGTTCTGAGGAGAGGAATTTACTTAATTTGTGTGACAATATGTGGACGAATGGAATGAACATGTATATTAATTTGTCATTGTATGATTGTGTTGTGAACTGTGGAGGATGTTGTTTTGGGTAGTGTTGGGTTATAATTGTTTATGATTCTGTTAATTATGTTCGTTTATTATTTAACAACCGGTTACTAAAAAAAGAATCCAAGACTGGATGTTAGTATATGGTGTCTATGTTGTTTGATGGATAATAATAATAAAATTCCTATACCCCTTATGCAGAGAAAGGTTACTCGATGTGTCACACATGCTGGAAACATGACATGCCTTGGCTCACTACAGGGAGCGTGTAGGCATGCCATCCAATCTGAATATGGTACTCACTGCACTGCAGCGTGTTTCTGGGTCCCCCAGGAAATAGGGTTTTCTATTGTATATAATATGTCTTATGTGTTGTATGTCTATATGTTTTGTCTGAGTGTATTATGTCGCATGTATTCATTAGCGTGAATGGCGAGGGCTGAGGGTGAAATGTAACGTCATCATCGCCCCTCGAACGTTGAAAGCGTAAGAGTGTGTGTTCGGGGTCGATGGCGGAATATTTATAAAAGTACTCCATCGACCCCCATCTAGATTAGTTTGAGTATAGGTCGGTGGAGGAACATCAAGTAATCCACCGACCAAACGGAATTAGTGTGCTGTATGGATGTATTTATGTGTATGATTGTATTTATTTGTATGAATGTAGTGTTTGAGATGGTACATAAAATATAGACTTAGTTGGGGGCTGAATTGACCTAGATGTATTCAGACTCTAAATTGGCCTTTGGATCAGCGTATCAACATTTTTAAAAGAAAAGTGCTCAAGTTGTTGAGATTTATTTGAAGAATTCATTTGATTTTAATGATATGACTGTGTTAAAAATGTTATATTGTTTTTTGTAACAAGTATATTAGTGTTGTCTGGTGGCCTTTTATTGCTCCAGAATTGATCAGATTGAACTTATACAGAAAATGTTTTTCCGATTTTTTCCTTATACATTTAAAATTTATAGGGATCCTTATACTTATGAAACAATCCTAAGGGCATTTAGTTGCACTAGTGGACTGGTGTGTGTCTTTGTTTTTTTGTATAAGGTGTTAAATAATGTAGTAGATAGTTCCTACTTATTAACATTAATCCAGTTTGAAGTTCCTCGTTTCATTCAGGTCTAATGTTCTATTTCATGTGAAACATGGTGATACAAATTATGTTATACATCAGCCGATGCTAAAAATATTAAGACAATGAATATGAGAATATTGATTCCCTTAATACAACTGTTCATAACCTAACGAAAAATGTATTAAACTCTTGTCATTTTTTTTTCCCGGCCGGCTAACTACTATGGTCATTGCCGGCACCTCACGTAAGCTTTTCGCACTTTTCTTGTTTCATTTCAACTTTATCTCGACGTCATTTACTATATCTCTTCTTTTAATTTTGTTTCCTACTGACCAAACAGAGGAGGTCTTGTTGCTCGTTCCTACCATCCCACACGGGGTTTGATAAAAATTCTTCAATATTTACAGACTCACTAACAATACCCACTCACGCTAAGAAAATGATTACCTAATATACAGTTGGCAGAGCTCAGAGTACAGGTGCACGACTTAGGTCCTGCCCCTACAAATAAATAAAAAGTCGGAAGGATAGTCATAATCCTACCGACTACCTTACATTCGTGCTAATAAATATACAGTATTTCATTCATCTATTAGACTAATTTCCTTTTGACGGGCTTGTGAAGTACTCGATATTCCTCGACATCCACGTCCATTTACTCAAAACATTCACGCTAATAAATACATTCATATTGGAGAGGTCGCAGCATCTTGGTAGTATTACTACAACCTTGATAGCAGTGACCTGTCCTTCACATCACATAACACCTTATAATTACCTAAACTAATTTGACGGGCCTGTGAGCTACTCGATATTCAGTCACATCCACACCCAGACATCCCTCATCACCCACGTTAATAAATTCATTCACACTCCAACATGGAGATATACCACGTGTGGTTGGTTATATGTATCCATACGCATTTATCAATTTTAAGTACTAAATAAGATTATCTTTGAAGTCACTGTTATGCTTAAGAACTATTTCCAGATTAGATGGTAGGTCACACCGTTCTCGGTACTGTCTTAACTTATTACATTCCTCTAGCCGGTATCTCACCGTTACCGGGATTCCACAGAGTGGGCAGCGTTTTTGACTTCTACCCACTAAGAGGTGACCGGACGAGAGACGGGTGTGACCTATTCGCAACCTTGTTAATATTATTTTGTTACGTTTTCCAAATTCACCACGGGCCATGGCCTCGTAAAAAAAAAAAAAAAAAAAAAATATATATACTGAATAAGGCCTGATGGAACATGGATCAGTTTACCTTTTACCTGTTATGGCCGTTAAACAAATAATATTTTTACCCCAGTGAAATTACATCATAAAGTATAAGATAATCAAACTTGTACATACAAATTATATTTTTTATCATACAACAATTAAATATTTTTGTTTTTATAACTTTCATTTTGAATATTTTATTTTTTAAAAATTCAATTGTTATCTGCCAAAATTTCGACAAAGTTTAGAGACATTGCCAGGGCCTATATTAAATACAAATTATGAATTGATATTAGGTAGTTCAACAATCATTCAATATAACTATACACAATCTTAAATATTTTACAAATTGAACAATTATTTTTAAAAAATGGTTTTAAATTTATAGATAGATTGAATTTATAGATTCTTGCAACATTGCCAACGGCTATAACACTTTTGTAACTTTATCGGGGAGGGTTTTCTCTCGTTATCAAAACCGTCTCTTTTTATAATTAATAAGATCTACATAAATTGAACTTAGGACGATGAACATAAATTATGTCGAAACGTAGGCGTATAACAATTGAATTTGTTTTTTCATCCAAACCATACCGAGATTCAGATTATTCGTGAGTAAAAAAACACTCGTCGATTCATCTAACACATCAATTTGTATTAAAAAAATGTAATGCAGTAATGTATACAATATTTGTAACTTTAACTTAGGTCACTTTACCTTACATAAAAAGAATAATTAATT